ATGCTACTGCACTAGGCCCAAAGAAATTCTTACTGAAGCCTTTAGTACACGCTAAAAATAATGAGGCAATATAACATAATTAGGAGCTAGTGTGCTCTGAGCCTTTGCCAGCATCATTGTGTGCCATCAACACATGGTTAAACTTGTCTATACCACTCTCACTTGTGCATGCTCAACAGTATGGTTTAGTGGGTCAAACAACTCCTATATTGTGAAGCACATTCCTCATGATAACTTTGTGGTCTATGGCAAAATACTTGATCTCTTATTTCTCCAGGAGAGAATAATTATCTACAGAGTATGGTAAGGCTTTGTCCCCATATCTAAAAATATGCTTCATTATTCACCTAAGAACTTTACCGAAGGCAACTACAATTATATTTGTCATCTGATGAATCCTTCAGACATGTTAAGAACCGCTGAATTGTCTCTTTGTGATCAAACTGGTGAGGAAACTTGCAAGGTACCTTATGGCAATGTCTTCTCTCCCTGTTCAAAATCCAAGGACCCTAAAAATCAAATTTCGTCACACTACTCAGGAAGCAGTTCTGAGCTATAGCAACATACCCAAATAGGACATATGCTACTTCGAAAACGCACAGAGGCACATTAGGAACTGAAACCTTCTTTTTTTCCCCTTGTATATTTTTCATTATTATTATTATGATCATTTTATGATACAGTTCCATAGGCCCTGGGATTTGCCTTCCCATTACCCAAGTTGCCCAACCCCCTCCTAAGTTCCCCTATATTATAACTATAGTATAGTTCTTCATAAACAGTCATGTGTCCATCATGCCAGGCATGGACAATGGCAGGGAATACAGCATCTTATTGTCAAAATATAGTTCACAGTCTCATTGGGAGTCTATCTTTGATCTGAAAGTAAAGATGCATATTGCATTGTATCCTCATATCCGCATATGATAGTCTCCATTACACAGTTACTATACAGCTCCTTAAATGAAAACCTACAATTCAAAATCAACAACAGGAAGAAATATAGAAATTGACAACACCATGAAGTTATAACATGCGACTGGAATGATAGTTTCCATTACACAATTATTGTATATCCCTTAAATGAAAAGTCACAAAACAAAATCAATAGCAGGAAGATAAGAAGAAATTAAAAACGCCATGAAGTTATATAACATACTACTGAATCACTAATGTGTCGCTGAATAAATAAAAGATAAAATCAAGAATTTTCTTGAAGAAAATGATGCTACTGTATCATCTATGATTCTGTGAAGAATTTAATAAGAAAGAACATATTTTGAAGAGATGAAACTAAAAAAAAAAAAGAATAGAAATCCGTGAGATACAGTTTCTGCAGATCTTTACTGATATATCTCCTGTAGGCAACAAATAGATGGGTTTTGTTTTTATAATCCAGTGTACTTATCTATGATGTTTGATTGATGGGTGTAAACCATTTATATTCAGGGTTACTATGAATGAGTGGTAATTTGGTCCTGTTCTCAAAAAAACATCTCACTGTTGTCCCTTCAATCTTAAAGCCTTTGCCACACTGTACAAAGTGGCACCTGATTTGCCACTACTAGAGTTCTTGATCTGCTGGCCATCAGTTCTGAGGGCTATCCAGTCCTTGGGTAGAACCTGTAGGTTGCCACACTGTTGCAGTTCGCTATGTCAGAAATTAGTTCCCATAGCCTTTAGCGGTGGAAGCTGTTTGAGGCTTTTTATAGCACACTGATGTTTGTAGTGTCCAGAATGCAGTAGTAATTTGGATTTACCATTCTGGAACTTATAATTAGATTTAACATCTTCTATTTGTCCCCACTCACAAACTGGATATGTTATTATTCTTCCATTTGTCAAGGCTGCCTCCTTCAATTAAGTATTATAAGAAGTTAAGTATTGGAGAATAGCCATGTAGTGAGTTCACAGGCCAACTAGGTACATGTGAGATGGACCTGAGTCAAAATATCATTAATCAGTTAGTCTTTATAGATTCCTACTCTAGTAAGTATGCAATGGTGGCCTATTGAGTGTGCAAGAACTGGTATCAGAGTAGCGCCCATAAATTCCCCCTCAAATCCAGCCATTCCTTCTTTCTCAGTGCCCTATGATCTGATAAGTTGCTCTGGATCTTTTGGGGATGGCGTCAAGGGAATTTTACATCAATGTTTGGACATGCAAGTATAAATTCTGGTACATATAGTACCCTATTCTTTTCACCTGCTCCCAAGGGGCATGCCAGGATTTCAGGCTAGTTATAAGAACAAAGGCACTGAAAGGTGTTGAGACTGAATCTTGATGAATGTTCCCATTTCTCCACAGGATGAATCAGGGGTTCCTCAAGTAAGAAGTACCAAGCTCAGACAGGGAGTAAAGCTGTTTCTGCTGGGTTAAAAGTCAGAGGGCTCCATGGACCTCGGCTTCACTGGGATCTGTCTTCCTGATACTATCTCTGTTTTCAGAGTCATCAGTCCATCTCAATATATGTCTTAATGTCAATCACAGATTTATTGTAATATTAATGTGTTTATTTGAAAGTTGGTGTGATGGAGAGAGACAAATCCCAAGAAAGATCTTTCATCTGTTGATTCACTTTCCAACTTTCCACAACATCTAGACTAGAACAGTCCAGAACCAGGAACCAGAAACTGCATCCAGGTCTCCTGTGTCAGTGACAGAAGCCCAAATATATGGTCCTTCTTCTGCGTCCTTCCAGGATGCATTAATAGGAAACTGGAACTCAAATCAGGCACTCTGTCCAAAATGGGACATAGGAGATTCAAGCAATGGCTTAGCCCACTATGCCAAAATATCTGGTCCTAATCACAGATGGTAAGTTAAAAAGAAATGGTAATTCAGCTACCCATGTGATTAGCCTTTTATTTAGTTTTCAAAAATATTAGATCCTATATTTCTTCTTTCTGCTATACTGCCCTGTGGCATCAGTTACCTAAATAACTCAATATCCTGCCTTTTGTAAATGTTTGATATCAGGGACTGCTAGTGTTTCACTTACCACTGTCAGTAGGGTGGCTAATGTCTCATCAAAACAGAAGACTAATCCTAAACTCTCACCCTTAAGGTTCTATCTTTAGAATTGCTCCAGGGCCAGGAACTGAACCAGGAGTCACCGAGGGAATCAGACATCGCAGTGTGGAGAAGTCAGGGTCTGGGAAACAGTGTCAGAAGACCAAAAAAAGTGCCATTAGTATGTCTGCTTGAAGCAGGAGCACAGATGAATAAGCTGGAGCTTTCAGGGAAACCCAACCAGCTAACTTTTAACCAAAAAAGTTGGATTGTGAAGGAACACTCAAGAATTTTATGGAAATTTGTCACCTGCATGTGGCTATCACCTCTGTGAGTCCACAGCAAGTACCTCGTAACAGGTTTGCATCACTGTTGGCAATGTGTGGTTATTTTCATTATTTTTTGTTTTTGTTTTTGTTCATGTTTTTTAGTTTTGGCAGATAGAGGAACAGAGGCTAACAGTCAGACAGGCAGACACAATAGGCTCCCATAATAACCACAGTAACAGAGACTGAGTCAAGCCACAACATAGAGCTGGGAGCTCGGTTGTGATCTGCTCCAAGGGATGCAGGGATCCAAATGATCTGAGATGATGCTATCTGTTGCTTCCTGGCAGGGTACCCATGAGCTGGAGATGTGGGTATTCCAGCCCACACCTTGGCCAATGGGTCAAATACCTGCCTATAAGTTATTTCTAAGTGATCTTCCAAGAAGTAATAGCATCAAGGTAACCAAGATTTGCTACAGAAATTCTCACAAAGTCAAAAGCAGAACACATCATACAAACAAAGAAGGCTGGCTGCTTACATCACAAGCTGAAGTGGATCCATGATGTGGCAGGAGTAAAACCAATTTACTATTCACTTCATTCACAACTGAAATTATGTGAATCTTAATTTGTTTTATGTTTGTTGAGAACTGAAAAAGATTACTGAACTTATTCGTAATATTAGGACCATTAACTTTTATATCATATCACTTAAATGTCACATAATTTATGCTATCCAACTGCATATTTCAGACTATCGTTCTACTAAAAATGCATTTTTAATGCTCAGGAAAGCATGCAGAACCATAAAAATCCTAGAGATGCACACACTCCAAGTTTATCCATACCAATAATAATTTTTAAGCCCAACTTTAAAATAATGCTTGCTATTATAATTTTCATGCAAGCCTTGAAAGTGTCTTAAAAGTAATTACAATGTGATAATTTTTTAATTCTTTTTATTATATTTTTTACAATCTTTACATAGTTAATTAGGGTAAAAAGGTTCAAGGGTTATAGGAAAATGGGTAAGACTATTATTTCCATATTATTTCCTTCATGTTTAAAGGGGGGTATTAAGGGAGAAGGCCCACCCAATTTCCCACCCACCCCAGGTCCCGGTTGTAGAGAATGCTCCAAGGTTCTTGTTCAAGTGGTTTTGATAGTTCACCAGTTATGAATCACTGTCAATCTTGCCACTCCAAGCACGATGAGGTCTTTGCAGAATCCACTGATTGATATAGTCCATCATAGAGTCTCCATTTGCCCCATATTTCACTGCCAACATATAGCTGAGATGGTTAATTGACCTGTCCTGTCTTCTATCTTTTCTTGGTTAGGGTTCTGAGTCCAGCATTTCGATTGGGGGGATCTCCAAAGGAACTTTGTCTGAGGTGTTCTCAGACCAGATTCTTGTATGTACTAGCAAGTACAAGGCCCGGCACAGTCATAATGTGAGAATTGACAAGAATTATGCTGTAGTAATTATTTTAAGTATATTGTGACTCTGAGAACCTAGTGTACTAATAAATTCCCTAAAAATTTAAAAAGTGATTGCATTCTTGGATCTCTGTAAGAATAAAATTATTCAGAGACAGATCTAGTAAAATGTGGATGTTCTTTGCTTTCTAAATTCTTCAATCAGAAATCCAAATAACCTAATTTCTTTGTCTACATAAACTACAATTTATTACCTTGTAAATTTAAAAATAGCATGATAATTGCTTCCCAGCCTTTTGGCTCAGATCAATTGTAATATCTGTTTCTATCAGTTTAAAAATAGCATGATGATAACCTGATCATCAAAAGTATTTGCTTCCAAATTACAATTTTTTAACTCCATAGGGAAGTGTTTCAACTTGACTCTTGCCTTACATGCTTAAGGAAACAATAATTCAGGAGTGGAGCATGGTCAGCATTGTGCAGAGGCTGTACAGATTCTTCAGTTTCCTAGAGCTGAAGAAAAATACAAAATCATCTCCCAGCCATAGCATTCTATATCCTCAGCAAGAAAGTTGATCAGCAATAATTGGCTTTCAACTCAGCATATGAGAAGGTAGTGCAAGAAGTGCCTTGGAGAGGGATTAAAACAGCAAATACACTGGCATTTGAAGCCAAACCTGATTCTTGTCTTAATTTAAACAGCACAAGTTTGCCACCAGTAGGATGGTCCCCTCAGGGTTTCCTAAGAACATTTATTTTCTTAATCATATTGACAGAAGCCCAATCAAGCTACTGCCACAGAGACTCTTCTGACCCTTGGCAAATCCCACCACTATCCCAAAGCCATAGGAAAGACGAGTGTGTATGACTTTACTTTGTTGTTGTTGTTGTTGTTTTTGAGTGAAATAAAATAATGAACTGGGATGAGTATGAGTAGATTTTGCTAACCCTTACAACACTAACAAATGAAGCAGTCACGAAGAAAGAAACCTTGTCTGATGGATATGCAGACAAAAATAAGATGCAAAGATTACATAGAGATTGCTCATGAGTACAAGAAACATTGCACCACAAATTTTATAAAGCAAATAAAAGGACCTTTATCTCAAATTAGTAGTTTTAAAGCAATTACAACTCAGTGATGATGAAAATTATTACTATAACTTCAGACAGAAATTTTAGTGTTAGATATCACAACTTTTTTAAATAGCTCTCTCTTTGGCTCAGGAATTAGCAATCTATCTTTAAGAGTCATCTGATTTTTTTAAAGGATTTATTTATTTTTACTTGAAAGCCAGAATTATAGGGAGAGAGAGAGATCTTCCATCCCCAAACGTCTGCAACAGTCTGACACTGGACTGATCTGAAGCCAGAAACCAGGCAGTTTTTCTAAATCTCCCGCACGGGTGCAGGAGCCCAAGGACTTGAGCTATTGTCTGCTGCTTTCCCAGGTCATAAGCGAGAAGCTGGATCAGAAGTGAAGCAAACAGGGCTCAATCTAGTGCCCATGTTGGTGCCAATGCCACAGGTGGAAGTTTAGCCTCCTGTGCCATGGCACCAGTCCTATAGGTTGAGTTTTTTGAGGACAGTGGCCAAACATGGTTCTGTAGACCCTTAATGTCAGGTATCCTCTTCTCCTTCACCCTCTGGAATGATTTAGAAACAAAATCCTCTTTAATTTCTGAATAAAAATATCTAGCAAATACTGTTGGTCATGTAGACAGAATTAAGAAAGAACATTGCTAAAAGCTTGGCAATTCATTCTTTTAAAAATGAATAGTTCTATTGTATAGACAGTAAATTTTGACAATTCCAGACTCCATGGTGTTTTGAATTCTATATCCCCCATTTTCTCAATCTGTTCCTCAGTTAACTCTCAATTTGGCAAAGATTTTTGCGCCTTTGCAGAGAAGTCTTCAGTAATATTCATTATGCCTCTGTCTCTTCTTTTGTTCTTGGTCATTGTACTTGCGGTTATCAGAGTCTTCTCCTCGGGGCAGGTTTGTAAGCTATGTCACCCACAGGTTTACAATTCAATTTAATTATTGTACCTGGCACATGGCTCTTTGTTTGCAGTCACTTGTGCCACTCCCTCCAGTGAGTTCCAGGTCTGGATTCTTACGTTAAATTTCTACCATGGTCCACATAGCCCCAGATTTTGACTCAGCACTCTTCACCTTCTGTGATACCATGCTGAGGCTGCACTGTTATTTGTACAAACTTTCTCCCACCTCCAGTTTGAACAGTTCCCAGGATTAGGGAGACACCAGGGGTCCCATGATACTAGGTTGTTGTTGGTGTTTATCTTGCCAGAACCCATTGGCTGTTAGGTCTGAGGGCCACACAGAGCTATTTGACCCATACAACGCTGTAGTTGGTATTATTTTTCCTGTGGGACTAGTGCAATGTATTTAGTTCAGTGAGCTCATTCCCAGCTCAGCATATGTGCAGCTCACTGTTGTCCCTGCAGTCTTAAAGCCTTTGCCACACTGTACAAAGTGGCACCTAATTTGCCACTACTAGAGTTCTTGATCTGCTGGCCATCAGGTCTGAGGGCTACCAAGACCTTGGGTAGAATCTATAGGTTGCCACGTTGTTGCAGTTCACTAAGTCAGAAATGCATTCACTCCCAGCTCAGTGCATTCTTAGTACTGTTCCATAGCCTTTCCTCCCTACACGACATGGTGCCTGATTAGGCTCCAGGGAATGAACTGGATTGTGAAACCTACCCTGTTACCATACTGCCTGTCTGGGACCTGCTACTCCGTCTCTGCTCCTGGTCAAATCAAACAGACCAGCAGGACGGGGCAGTTCTTTGAGTTCAACCTCATGAGCTTCCAGGGAACATCCCTGCCCACCTTGTTGCTTGTGGAGTTCCAGCTGCCAGTGTAGTTCAGATCACCGCTCACTGAATGCCACTGGCATATCAGTCATTGCAACACCACACCGTTGTTCTGCTACTCCCCTGTGTCTGTCAGTCTCCAGGTGCTCCTCTACTATCGTTCTGTCCTCTCCTATTTTCTGGAATGTGCCCTCTCTGCTTCACACTGGCTAATGTTTCTCTGTCTGTTTATATGTGTCCTTACCCTATTCTACCACCTTGATTCTTAATTATTATATTTTATTGTTTTAAACGCTTATTCCTTTTGTAGTGAGAATGTTTGAAATTTATTCTCTTAGTGATGGTGAAAGATACAATGTATTACCTACTACATTCATGCTCACAGCTCTCACACTTGATGGGTCTATGAGGAACTCTATTGTGGTCAGTCCCTAGAGGCACTTGGCAACGTAGGTGCTAGTGGACCTAGGCATCTCAGTGCTGAGTGAGGACATAGTTTTGCAGAAAAGAATTTTAGATGGTTTGCAAGCACTTTGGGTCTTTAAAATAATTAGTTGGTCCCAGGGCTGCCTCTTATAACTTTAATATTTACACTATGACAAAGTGAAAGTGCTCATTAGTGCTCAAGCCAAAGTAATACCATTCTCTTTATTCATTCCAATGAGCTTATTTTACATTAGCAAGAAAGAGCTGGTGAGAGGTAGAGCCCCATGGGGTATTTGCTTTGCAGAAGAGGATCTCAGATGGCAATAAAATCAGGAAGCATTAGCATAAGGCCCTCTGAGAAATATGTTCCTACATCCCATCTCCAGAGGGTGAGGCCACAGATGAATGACTTTGATCCTGCCCCTTCCTTAGTTCCCATAAGTACCACATCATCTTGTTCTTCATCAGACAGAACTGGGAAGAATGGTAGCTGGGGCTGCAGGCTGGGCAGCAAGGAAAAACAATAGAGAGTTAAGCTCTCTTCCAGAACTCTACTCTTGGCAAGAGCTCAGGGGCCTCAGTAGTCCAGGTGCCCTTAAGGCCCGGGTCTTCTTAGCTGCATTCTCCCAGGCTGTATGGATTGCCCTGAGAAGGAACACCTCCCTCCCCTCCAAGTTCGTATCACTTTCCACTTCATTTCTAGCAGAGTGTGTCCTGGGTCCCCTGGGTAACCACCTGGGGGAGCATTTTCTTTAAGCTACTGGGGTGAACTAGCCTCCACCATCAGCTGTGCTCCTATAAGAAGTCTAGAAGCACATCTAGCCTCCAGACTTAAGTAGCCATGCTGACCAAAATGGTACCATGTGAGTGGCAAGTGGGTAAGGGCTTCACCGGTTCTGTTACTTCCGAAGGGATATCTGGCAACACCTATCAGGGTTGTTGAGGATTCATTTGATAAGCATTTCTCACACTGCAGGGGCCTCTCCTCCAAGGGGCCAGTGTGTGCCGTGCTCTTAGTCCTGAAGGTAAACATGTCGACCACGAAGCGAAATGCAACAGGAGATGAATCCTGCCCCCTGGAGAGGAGCGAGGCAGCTCTGTGATTCCAGGAAAGAACTCAGGGACAGCACTGGTGCTCAATTTTACATTTTCTCTAACACCAAGCATAGAATGTCATTTGAAGTCTTTCCTTATTTTAAGGCAAAACCGGCCTTACCCATAGATGCATCATTCACACAGTTGGACTTCATAACAACCAAAAAAAAAAATTTCTCCACGAGAATTGTCTAAGCCGTTGTGATATCTGACAATTGTCCATCAGTGATGCTTTGGTGATCAGCCATTGATGGATCAGTTTAAGGTGCATGTCTGTCACTTGGACAGGAAGCACAGGGAGCCTGTATCAGCTATTAATGCCCCAGCATCATTAATGCCCCATGCGAATGCCACACTATGAAATTTCAGTTAAAATCAACATACCAATAATTGCAGGCTGGCTTTGTATGCTGCATATTTAACTTATGAAATGGTCATCTGAATAGGAGGTACCAAATATAGATATACACAAGATCATCTGAGACTAATTAATGCATGACAGATCCTTGATATGTTATTAATGGAAATGAGCTTGGAGAATACAGTTTAACCTTTGAGATTAGTGTCGACGAGAAAGGCTATCTCCCCTGGTGCCCTTGGCAGAAGCAGAACACTAGTACAATTCCCTACAGATCAGGTGCAGTTCGTAAACTGGCATAAGCAGATTATATGAGACAGTGACTAGAAAAACCGTCTTTGACTCCACATCTGCTACTTACAAGTTGGATGACCTGGTCAAGCCACCTACACAATGTGAACCTCAGATTGCCAGGCTGTAAAATTGGGGTGTGGAAAGGAGCAGTCAGTGTAAAATTCATGTTTAAAGCATCTCTATTAAAGAATCTCTCTCTCTCTCCCTTTCTCTCTCTCTCTCCTCTCTCCCTTTCTCTCTCTCTCTCCTTTCTCTTTCTCTCCGGTCTCCCTCTCTTTCTGTCTCTCTGTGTCTCTCACACACACACATATTCATACACACACCTATTCAGAAAAGGAGCAGACTGGTGGCACTGACCGTCACATGCCTGCCCCTACTGCTGAGCCGTGAACCATTCTAAACCTAGGCCAGGCACGTCACTCCCATGTTTGCTCACCTGTCTGCTGGCACGTGTTCACA